GTTTTTAACTTCAAACAAAGCAACTGTAAGTGTGATTTGCTACCGAACTTTGTGTTCGCTGAAACACTGGGGTTTGAAGTACCGCTACACCAGTGTGTTATTCGTTCTATCCTGGGAGGAAATAATCCATTACCTTGGGTACTAGGAGGGGATTAAATTCCTTAAGGAAACACTGTGAATTCAGTGGGCTCGAATTAATTACTGTTTTATTACGCTAAATTATATTTTGCAGAATTATTATTTACAAATACAGCAATATTGGCGGGAATAACATGAATGGGGTTGGTTAGGACTTAGGTGGTATACTACTAGAATTTGTGATTAAGGAGGTTCTTCTTCCATGTCGATCTCCACCAGATGAATAAGGAAATAAAAAAGGAAAAGAAAAAGCAGTAGCATCATCAACAACTATTTGAAGTTTCTCCTAACTTGGATACAAGTTAAAAGTTTTTTAAAAAATGGGTATAAATTGAAAAAGTGGGTTAACGCATTGTGTGCATAACCGCAAGAGAAGACATCAAGAAATTGAGGGATAATGAACTCTTGATGGCCGTGAGCTAGAGAATTAGTTGCCAGTCAGGCAAGAGAGAGCATGCGATAGCTCTCGCATCGCGAGCTCTAGTATTGCATGATTTGCGAGATGTAAGTTGCTGACTACACTGAGTCTGTTATTATTGCTATTTGTAAGATTTAAGTTCACTAATCAGTAAATAAATGTGTTGGTGAAATTGGTTTACTATTATTAGGATCGGGAACCCGAGTATTGCGGAATATAGCCAAACAACGGTATAATGACAATAACAAAGACAATGGAAGTTGATAACAACGATAATTAAAATAGATAAAGAAGACACAAATTTAACGTGATTCAGTCAAAGTGACCTATGTCCACAGGCGGAGAGGGGTAATTTCACTATAACAATAAGAGTACAAAATTAGAGTAAATACTCTAATTAATCTCAAATACCCTAAGGGAATAACCTCACAAGATCACTCCAAAGAAAGGGTTCACATAAATGCTTCCCAACACTAACTCTCATACAAAAAAACTCATAATAAATGAATAAAGGAAGAAACAAGAAATGAAGACTCTAGTCTTGTTGGTGTGTTTAAAATGAACTGATGGTCTTCCCTTTTATATGCAAAAAAGTCTTGACCTCTTATGTGTAAAAGAAGAGATACAACTTATGCAAATGATGTCCAACACACAATGCAATATTTTTGGGTCCCAAAGAATATTGTCAACAAAGTCTACACTCTGCAAAGATGCTTATGCTTATGTGAGATGGACTCTATTTGACAAAATAATCGCTATATTACAATTATCATTATTATATGATTATATCCAAGCAATACATGGGCTTGCTGCCGTATCGTGTTTGTCACATGCTTGTTGGGGGACACCTTATGGGCGAGAAAAGAAAAAGGAAGAAACAAACAAAAAGAAAGAGAAAAACGAAACGGAGCCGTGCCACGCGGTGACCGCATTTTCCAAAAGCTTGCTCTTAGAAAGAAGCCTTTGTTTTCCGAAACAGACTAAAAAATAGGTTATCATGGAAAGAATATATTTTTTGTCTAATTTGCTACATCAATTGCAGAAAAATGAAAGACGTAAATCGATAATGTATGACATTATTATTGCAATATAAATATGGATCTGAGTGAATTTTGGTTTTGAATGAGGTTGGTAATTAGGTGGTATGCTACTAGAATATTGCTTGAAGTTTTCATGTGAATTGTTGGTATAGGGTTGGATTCGTTAGAGCACTATCCAGTATCCTCCTTTGTTGTAATTTGGTTTCAATCTACAAAGGGCCACTGTCACCATACGACAGAATTAATTTTTTTGAAAAGCAAGTTCTAAGATATCGTATCATATGTATGAGATTTTTCATTGTTTCATATTATTTTTGTTTTGTATTGTATAGACAATCGTGGCTCTAGTTTAATAAGAATTTTTCTTGTTAGTTATTTCGTTGTTTTATATTGCACAACAACTGATAAATATATCAGCTAATATGTCCTTACATATTGTGTGCATACAGGATTTATCAACAATTACTCCACATAATTTAAGTCAACTTTTTCTGTCTCCTAATTTTTTCACTAATTATGCCTTGTCAGTATACTAAAGTATTAAATTCATACAAACTCATAAATTTAATTACAACAATATTTCAAATAATATGTAAAAAAGAGAGAGAAGGGAAAGTTAATACTCGGAGTGACAAGAAGCATGTTAAAATATATATCGCGAAGACATCCAAAAGGATAAAGGGTAAAAATAAGGTTATCAAATAGTAACAAATAAGATTATAATGAGAAAGAAAAATAACATATAACAATCTCATCACTACACACACACACATATATATATATATATATATAAAAGACAATGCATAGCGGAATTTGGCGGGATAGATGTGATTCCTCCATCCTTAACAAGAGATATCGGGTTCAAGTCTTGATAATTGAGAAATATTAGTACGGGTGTTCCCGTTGAATGGATCGGCGGCACGAATCTGAATTAGCTGAAATAGAGCTAATGATAGATTTCAATAAGAGACCTTAAGCCAAGTGCGGAAATTATTTTATATTCAGTGAAACCAGCATCAGTGAAGAGCTTTTCCCACTCTTTCTTAGTTCTCTCTTTGGACGCACAAAGAACCATCATCAACATATCCATATTATGTTGTGCTCGAATAAACTCATCATTACTCTGCTTCTTTGTATCATCCTCCATCACTGTATCTATGATTATCACTTTCCCTCCTTTCTCCCTATTTGGAATTGACTCTTTGCATTTCTTCAGTATCTTCACACAATCTTCGTCCCTCCAGTCGTGCAGAATGCACTGTTCAACAATGAAGAATTAAGTTGAAAGGGAGAGGGGTAGTATAAAATTACAGGAACACCAACTACTCCGATCCGATCCTTCCGTTTCAATTCATGTTAACGACCTATTTTATTGGACATAAAGTTTAAGAAAGAACGGAAGACTTCTGAAATCTAGTGGTCTAATTACACATGCGACAATATTTTTTTTGGCTGTAAGACTTTTGAAACTTGTGGTTACATGTCATGATATTTGTGTGGCTATAAAGCTTTTCATTAAGAGTAAAATGAGAAATTGAAGTTAAATTGTTTTCAAATTGAGAAATAGATCTTTATTTTTGGAACGCACGGAAAAGAATAGGTTCACATGAATAAAGATGTTTTCGTACCTTGAGTAAGATGGCATTAGCATGGGGAATGTTATCGAACATATCTCCTCCAACAAACTCCAAATTTCCACTTCCTTTGCAGTCTTCGACAACATGAGGGAGATCAAGTACAGTGCATTTTATGTTAGGAAAAGCTTTAGCTATAGCAATTGAAACAGTACCAGTGCCACCACCAACGTCCACCAATGAATTCAACCCCTCAAACACATGTTTACACTCCGTAATAAGCACATTGGTATTCAACCTCGAGTCACTAGCCAATGCATCATTGAAAATATCACCTAGTACCCTTGATTCTTGATCCACAATATAGTCCCATAAAGATTTGCCATTAGCAGTATGAAAAGCAGTGGGAGAATCATTTTGGAACCAAGTACTTAACACAAACCATGCTTTTGAAAAGACTGGATCATGGTTGATAACCAAGAGTGATCTAACATTAAAGGGCTCATTTTTCACAAGAAGGCAACTAGCTGGGGTAAGAGAATAGTGGTGATCTTGATCATCTTGATTTAGGAAACCAGAATGCACTAAAAATCGCATTAAAATTGGCAAGAAAGAAACCTTTGAAGGGTTGATTACTAGGGAAAGTTCAGCCGAGAGATCGGAAAGAGACATGGGCTTACCATATTTATAGAGAACATCAAGAATGCCTAGTTGAAGTGCACATCTTACTGCTGAAGAACTTATGAAGTTGAAAATATGGTTCCAGATTTGAGCTTGCGCGCGGAGAAGCTCAGTGCTACTCTCACTCGCTGACATTTCTAAGGGACTTCTTTTGCTTAGACTTGCATATTTATAGAACTAATGAGAACTATCCATAATCCACGTTTTTTTTCTCTAGTTGAAATTAAGATAATATAACGATTGTTTAATCTTGTTACATGGTGGGGACTAGTCATGTTGTCTCACAAATACTATATCGATACTCTGTATGAGAATATTGAGCGTGGGTAAATTCTCGAAAGTATTAACCAAGATGAATAAAAGAAGCATTTGTTTTTCAATTTGCTATGTTCTTTTTTATCTTTTTAAGTTTGGCCTCCACAATCTGAGCCCCTCCAATTATTTCTCTTGAATCTCCATTTCCGTTGTTGTAATTAATTTTCTCGTATTTCCATTACAATGAGTATATTTTATTATTTATGCAATAACGATAGGGCTCTCACTCAGCTTTATATCCATTACGTAGCAGAAAAAGAAAACAGTAGAGATTCCTGTATTTTGCAGGTGACTGCTCCATTGGTGCAATATTTCCTAATTCAACTAGTGTTTTGGAGAGAGTACAATCAAACTTCTCTATAACAGTCTCGTTTGTTTCGATATTTTTTTGGATGCTATAGTGAAGTTTGTTATAGAAAACATATATTAAAACATAATATAAAAATTGGTTCCAAGAAAAATATAGTTTTTATAGTGAATGACTGTTAAATGAGAATGTTGTTATAGATATGTTTAACTGTATAGGTGCCGGCTAGTAAATTGGAGCAGTAATTTAAATATGCCTGTATGCATTAATACAAGATAGAAGATTTTCCAGTCTTGCTAGAATTATCGGATCTTTAACATGAAGTGCGAGATTTTCCTTTCCAATTTTAGCTGACAAAAGTGCTTCTCAAAATAATAGCTTGGCCTAACACCCTATAAATCTACTAAGCATAAGCTATATGAATGTTTAGTTTTTATTACGAAAGTATCAAACTATTCTCCTATCAGATATTTTACTATTTTATGTCATTTTTCAACTTCATCGGGTAGCTTATCACTTGAAATACACTATACACTACACATGCCTATACTAAAGAATTGCTGAATTTCAAGAAGAGACTCAGATTCACATATACACAATACGCTTTATTACAGAATCCTAACTCAAAGTGATACAGTTCGGGTTAGCTAACTGAAAATCGAGTTAACAATACAAATGTGATCACCATCATGGGGTGGAAATGTCAAGGTCCACCTTTCATCAGACATCCTCGGCGTCATCATCAGAATTATGAATCTCATCATGATCATCATCGCCATCGTTGAAGATGTCCATAGCATGTATCTGTATACTCTGAAACTGGTTGATTGCATCTCTTGCTTTGGATATGAGAGCATTTTTTGCAACTTTAATCACATCCATTTTTCTGACACTCTCATCCTTGTGATCATTCTTATTTTGGCGGCCCTTTGCTGATCTTGAAGTGGCTGCTTTTCTCTTTGCCTCCCTGCAATGTAGCTGATCAATGTACCTCTCATGTAGCACCTTGTTCTTAATTGGCTTTAGCACTGGTGGGCTGGTAAGAGCTGCTACTGATGAATCACTTAATCGGGAAAGGTGCTTTTTATGGGCTGAAGAGGATCTCTCCAGGCACTTTCTAAGATAATGCAAACCTTCTTTGTTGCGCTCGGGGGTGAAAATTTCTGTATTCTGGCAAAATGCCCTAGCAGTTGGATCTGTTGATTCAAGAACATTGAAGAAGTCTGCCTCCTTATCTCGATCTACGTCGTTTTGCTTTTGCAGTAGTTGTCTCACTTTCTTCCGTGAGAGATGGCTCTTCGGCTTGCTATATCTGAGCTTTTTGATGGGTTTCCCCGTAGACAGGAGCAGTTTAGTTGCACAAGGAGAAAGTGATGACGTGTTCATCTTTTTAATCCTTGAACGTGGTTGAGGCTGAGGTGGGGTCATGAAATCCGAATGTATCTTGTCAAAACATTCCTTTGCTGATTTTTCAGGCACCTGCAAAGCAAGTCCAAAGTTTACTGAGATGACCATTTATGTCGCAAGCTGGCGTTCAAAATTACAAGGAAAACTAAAACGAACCAGAAATGATAACTACCATACCTTTCTTTGGTTTTCATATTTGAATTGCAGTGTTCAGAAAATTCACAGGTTACAAGCACCATTTGCTAATATATTGATGTCAACAAAGGACCTAGAATCCACATTCATGGATTTCTAGGTGGAGCGTGATCCTAATAGTTCCTAATCGGAAGCTGAGGAGTAGAAGTATATACTAAGTTACTACTCAGATCTCAAGGCTTGTTGGCTAGCAGCTTGTGTCCAAATGAGCTGTAGGTATGCAAAAATATTTGGATCTAAGAACAAATATACCACCATAAGTAATTCTAGCTAATCCACTACCATGTCATTCATATATAGGTTTCATCTTGGGAAAAATATTAATACGAAACAACAGCTTAGCTTTTGGCACCTGTTTACATCCTCCAGTCACAGCTGGTAAACCCCAGGATCAACCCCTCTAGCTAGACAATACCTGAATACCCAATACAACAACAACAACAACCCAGTATAATACCACTAGTGGGGTCTGGGAAGGGTAGTGTGTCAGACCTTACCCCTACCCTGGGGTAGAGCTCCCTCCCTCCAAGAACTCCCCACCTTGCTCTTGGGGTGACTCGAACTCACAACCTCTTGGTTGGAAGTGGAGGGTGCTCACCACTAGAGCAACCCACTCTTGTCACCTGAATACCCAATATTGTTGACTTATCTGCTGATATAGTCCCAAAACCCAATATTACGTCAAATGATGAAATGCTCCAGCCAAACTTTCTTCAAGTCCGACAGCATCATCTGTGGCCTTTACTTTGTCCTTTACTTCATTACAAAAGAGACATGATCAGTAGTGACAAAAAAGGTCAAAGAAGATGGGATGGACCTATAAGTACTACGCTGGACAAACTAAAGTCCTACTTTATAGAATGAGATAGTGCTGTTATTTATTTTTTCATCACCTGATGTCATTCACTGTAGTTCATCCTCTGGCTCCGGGAGTATCACCAAGCCTCACAATAAACTAGCCTTTCACCCTCTTTCTACAGTAAAGGTTCTATGCATTATCAACTTGCTACCTAACTTTTATTTTGGACACGCCCTCGTACAACCATCAAGCGATTGATATACCAGTAAGATACTTGGGTGGCTGATGTATCAAGTACTGCTCGTCAGCACCATTACAGTCATGCTGCTCACAGATTTCAAATGTTCTTGTTAAAAGTCACTTTCCCCAGATGAAATGAGTCCACTAATCAGTCTTCCACTCTTCCCATGCAATTTGTACTATTTCTCACTTAATGCTGGAATTAATGTTGATGCTCCAACCGCATTGATGTTACAGTACCCCAAGAGATCAATTCTCTCTCTCTCTCTCTCTCTCCCTCTCCCTCTCCCTCCCTCCCTCTCTCTCCCTCCCCCTCTCTGCTGATGAACCACAAGTTCTATCTAACTGCAGGAGGAAGTTATTCTGGCAACATGACAATCTTCTAAAGTGTAAAAGATCAACCTTTATGTCTCTCTCCTTTTCTCCCTCCTGCAATAATTTATCTTGCTATTCCAATATTTCATGGTATAAGCAGGGAAAATAAAATCATCATGCGCGTAATAATGATTTTTCCTACTCCGACCCCTTTGTCCAAATAAAACTATCTTAAGTTGTTTTCCTTTTTTGATAATGTAACAAAAAACTATCTTAAGTTCCTTTCAAGCCACTCCAGAATGTCGTCTACTTTAATTAAAAATTTCTCCTTTCAGTATTAATGGACTACCATATTACTTCGTAGATTAATACTCGACACGTCAGCTCAAATTTTAAAGAATTATGCTTCTTCTACTTTTGTGCCCTAGATGTCTATAAAAATGTGACAAGAGAATATCTGAACAACTAAAAACTCTCAATACTAAAGAGACAATTCTCCCAATTTCTAGTCTCCACCTTTATCTAATTTTCTCTCCCCTCTTCCAGCTGCAAGCAAATCCATCAATTTCCTCTTTATTATTTCCATTCAGAACCGTCGAGCGCATTTCCTTCCCTTATCAGTAGTACTAGTATCAGCCTCGTATTCCCTTAACCTCATATTTCTATTACTACCTGATGTTTCTTATGCTTTGGTTCTCTTATTATCTTGCATTGTTAACACTTCTTCTTCCATGTCTTCTTCGCTATCGTATTTCTTTTTAAACTGCTATGATTTTTGTTTTCCTTGAGCTGAGGGCCTATCGTAACGGCCTCTCTACCTGCACAAGGTAGAGATAACGTATGTGTACACACTATCTTCCCCGGACCCACTTGTGAGAATACACTGGTATGGCTTTATTTATTATTTCCATTCAAAACCACCAGCCGACTTAGCAGCGAGTTGAAGATATGGTAGCAATTTGGAAGGTGAAAGTAGTTTACTGGTCAAGATGACATTGATTGTTCAAGTAAAATAAGCATACATGGAAGAAAGCGGGTAAAATAGTACCATAGTAGAGCTGGTAGAGGGAGGAGGCCAATGAAGAGTGCTGGAAAATTAGGTCGTATCATACTAAAAATACTCGCTGCTGGAGGATCAGGTGGTAGAAACGGATTAAAATCCACAGAGACAACCATATTAGAACACTCGGTATGTTGAACCAAATTGGAAAACAAAAATAGAAAGAGTGACTATCTAAGAATCTATAGAGGACGAATCATAAAACTGAAATGAGGTCCTTGGATTACATAAACGAACTACATTTGGTCAGAGAAAGTTGAAAAAGAGGATAATAGAGAAAGGAGTGAGATACGAGAATATACAGCTGTTATTTGTCTTATATATAAGAATAATATCCCTTACGGGTACTTTTACTGATGGGAAAGATGAAATGAAATTGTCTCTACCCATCAACTATTTCTCTTCTGTAACCAAATAAAATCCCCCAATTAACTATTGTAAAAATCAAGAGCCAATCCACTTGTCTAGGCCCAAAGTTATACAACAACATTTTTGCAGCAAACAGGCTATCAAGCACATTAGCTTCCAATAGGAGGGGAGGGAGGGGAGGGAACCCTTGAAAGAAAAGGAGGAAAAAGTGAAAGTAACCCTTTGACATTGGTCACAGGTTGGGCAGTCGTGCATCTTAAGACCATCCAAAGACTATCTGAAACTCTTTTTTTGACATTCTTAGTTTCTTCTGGACAAAGATCAACTTAATTACGAGAGGCCCAATTTCAGACTAAAATTGACTAAACCATCCCCAACCTATCAGCTCCTATACTGGCAAAATTCATTTTCTTATTACATTGAAACTGTTGATGTGCAAACATATCCAATAGAGATCACTTGGTAGGTCTGAATATAAGACACAGAAATCGTCCCGGCAGGCAATTCGTATCATACGTGAAATCCCACCTTTGATTATACCTGGCCTTTGACACTTAAAACCATAAATCCTAAAGACAACTTTCCTTATCTATCATCAAGTAGTATATAAATGGTCAATGCTCAGCTAAATTAGTTTTTCATGAAGATAGAATTATAGAAAGCACAAAATGAAACATAAGCTAATTTTAAAATCACAGCCAAATTACCATCTTAGCAACTTTCTTCCAGAAGTTAGGCGTTGCCTTTGCCGCGAAATAAGCATTCTGCAATGCCAGCTCTTGTTTGTCGGTCCACCCGTTAGCACTACTCCTCTCCTCCATTCCTTGGTTAGTTCTCTTTCTCTTCAATCCCGTGCCTTTCTTTCCCGTGCCATTATCATCCTTTCCAGAACCCGGAACTTCAGATGATGGGCCGCCTAAACTTTCTTTACTAGTCTCTTGAGCATGTTTAGGGATCTTTGGCCCATTCTTCAAATCACCCTTTCTTTTCTCAACTAAATTGTCAGCGGAAGCACAGCGTAGTACTTTACTGACAGGTGGGTCCCGAGTAGAACTGCGTGTAACCCTTCTCTCTATACTATTAACCACACCATTATTCTCCAGGTTTACAATGCTCAATCTTGACGACCTTCGCAGCCTAGTACTGGATTTTTGGGAGCTTTTTGAAACTTCAATCTGATTTTTGTGGACTTCGTTATCAGAAATCTCAGTAGCAGCGGCAGTAAACCGTTGTGATCTTCTCAGAGTGGGTGTTGGTTTTTCTTGGCCTCTCGAGTTTCTTTGGGGCATTTTCGCAAACAGATAAGTGACGGAAATGAAGCCGAGGCACACACCGACTAGGGATGGAAAACTTCAGAATATGCTGCTTCGAAATTGTGAGCAGGGGGAAAATCAAGGGCCGACAAACTGGATACTGGACTTCTTCGGAAAAAAAAAAGAAGAAGGTGAATACTGGACCCGTAGTGAAGGTCCAACTGTAACGGCCTCAAGATTGGTGCGGAAATGACGCCGGGTAGCCACTAAACATAGTGTTTAAAATATATACACAGATTACGATGTATTTAAAGATGATCCAATTTGCTTAAATTTTAGGTCATCGTATTATAACGTTCAAAAATTATGTCCAGAAATTTGAATCTTATGTCTTGAATTTTAAATTGACAGTTCAAAAATTCAGGATATTTAGTCCTCAATTTCAAATTAGTAATTTAGAAATTCAAGACACTTAATCCTGACTTTCAAATTAACAACTCAAAATTTAGGACACTAAGTTCTAAATTTCAAATTAACAGATTAAAAATTCAGGATAGTTAGTTATGAAATTTGGGTGTATTGGCTAATCTTTAAATATATTGTAATTGTGGATATATTTTAAATAGCATGCTTAAAAGTGGTTATTGGTGTACTTTGCCCAAGATTGGTTCTCAACTTTGAATGGTTTTTCGGTCTTGGGTATTTCTTTTTTTTTTTTACTAAGCCTACAAGTTTAAATTCTACGCATATTGTAGAAAATAATTACATTAGATCACTCATACGGTAAATACAAGTAAATTTCTAAACTTATAGTCGGTTTAATGGGTTCACTCCGTGGAACTTATAACGTCGAGTGTCAGTCATGGCCTTCGAATTTTGAGTCGTGAGGAAGATTTTTGGATTGTCAAAAGCTATAAGTCTAAGGAATATTGAACAAAGTTCAAATGTTAAACTCATATTGTCAATCCCAAACGTAAATTGCGACTCCCTATAGAAAGGAGAATAGATTTGGCACAACATATAGGGAGAGCGATTTCTTGAAATTCACAAGCGGTCTTTGTTTTAATATAATTGTCTTCTTACTTGATGTTTTAGGACTCTTTTGTAACTTGAGGTCAACGTCTACAAACCTATATCAAAGAAGATCGTTGATATGAAACCAAATCAGGGAAAAGAAAATGAAAGAAACACAAAATTCTATGGGAGCAAGAACAAAAGGTAACGTTTGGATACGTATCTGTATCCAATCCAAACACTCACTTTTAAGTCTTAACTACTCTCTAGTTTTATAAATATCGGTGCAATTTCAACAAAAATAATTCTTAGAAAAAATTTGTTTATGTGATAAAAATAGAAATATCTTTATGACTTCTTAGAGTTAAGTAGCAGAATTTATATTGTTCCGTTGCATCTTAGAAATGAACTTGCGTCTGCATTTCTGCAAGGCTAAAGAACTTGAAGAGTGATAATGCACACACTTCAAATAAAATAAATTCGTCTACCGCATTCATGTTGTTTAACAACCTTACAAATGCATTTTTATCATCTTATAAACACAGCACAGGTTGGAGTTCCAAGTAGAAATCTCAAACAACAGACACAGGGCACACGTTGAGCATGGTCAAATTGTAATATTATGATTTAAGACTTAATTTCGTTGACGTAGGTAGGTTCATTACTTGGGAACCTTCATTACAACAAAAAGCAATAGCCTAGCATGCACGTGTGAAAATAATTTACCCACAAGAAGTATCTGTGCAGTTAGATTTCTTACATAAGGTAAGAGAAAAAATAATCATTACACTATTGTAAAAGAGGTTTTTTCCGGGGCACAACATAGACTCCTAAAATGTCAAATCTTGGTTACTTATGGTTGCTCATTATCCAATTGGCTGACAATGAAAGAGGCAATCCTCATTACTAGTGAATTTTTGGATCGAGTGTTACAATCATAAGATAAATGGAGAAGCGATTACCCTTATATATATTTGACAATAGGATGATTTTATGAGGTGGCTACAAACCCAATAACACTACCATCTGCTCCTAGAAGAGCCAATCCACTTGTCTAGGTCCAAAGTTATACAACTACATTACAGCAAACAAGTGATCATGCACATTTAGCTTCCAATAGGAGGGGAGGGAGGGTGAGGTAAACCCTTGAAAGAAAAAGAGGAAAAAGTGAAATTAAACCCTTTACATTGGTTACAGGTCGGGCGGTCGTGCATCTTAAGACCATCAAAAGACTTTTTTTGAAATTCTTAGTTTCTCCTGGACAAAGATCAACTTAATTCCGAGAGGCCCAATTTCAGACTAAAATTGACTAAACCATCCCCAACCTATCAGCTCCCATACTTGCAAAAGTTATTTTTTTATTACATTGATATTGTTGATATGCAAACATATCCAATAGACTAAGATCACTTGGTAGGTCTGAATATAAGACCCAGAAATCGTCCAGGCAGGCAATTTGCATCATACCTGAAATCCTACCTGGCTTATGACACTTAAAACCATAAATCCTAAAGATAACTTTCCTTATATATCATCAAGTAGTATATAAATGCTCAATGCTCAGCTAAATTAGTTTGTCATGAAGATAGAATTATGGAAAACACAAAATGAAACATAAGCTAATTTAAAGATCAGTGCCAAATTACCATCTTAGCAACTTTCTTCCAAAAGTTAGGCATTGCCTTTGCCGTAAAATAAGCATTCTGCAATGCCATCCCCTGTTTGTTGGTTCACCCGTTAGCACTACTGCTCTCCTCTGTTCCTTGGTTAGTTCTCTTTCTTTCTCGTGCCATTATTATCATTTCGACAACCTGCAACTTCAGATGATGGGCCAGCTAAACTTTCTTTACTAGTCTCTTGAGCATTTGTAGGGATCTTTGGCTCATTCTTTAAATCACCCTTTTTTTTCTTAACTGAATTGTGAGTGAAAGCACAACCTAGTACTTTACTGACAGGTGGGTCCCGAGTAGAACTACGTGTAACCCTTCTCTCTATACTATTAACCACACCATTATTATCCAGGTTTACAATGCTCAATCTTGACGACCTTCACAGCCTAGTACTGGATTTTTAGGAGACTTTTGAGACTTCAATCTGATTTTTGTGGGCTTCGTTAGCAGAAATCTCAGTAGCAGCTGTAGACAATAAATTGCATCAAGAAAATAAAATCAAAACCGAAAAATATCGCAATAATCGTAGTATTTGATTTCAAATAATATGTGTGTATAATCTCTATAAATCCTCTGATTTTTCTTTCCAATAGTAAATAAATTCAAGGGCCTTCGAGCTTGATCTTGAATATGTAGTTGTTGCCACGAACGATGATCTTGTTCTTGAGCTTGATTGCTTGAACTTGAACTTGATTTGTTCTTCGTTCTTGAGCTTGAACTTGATTTGTTCTTCGTTCTTGAGCTTAAACTTGAACTTGATTGCTTGAACTTGAAACTTGTGGAGGAATTTGCAGTGTTTGATCCACGAGCTCTTTCTTGCTTCTTGTTATAACTTCTGGTCCCTTTTCTGAGTTATGAAGACCCCTATTTATAGTTGTGGAAGGGAGGAGTTGTGATAAGAATAAACTTTTTCCGACCAATCAAATTGAAGTGTGACATGGCCGCATTTGATTGGCCAAAATATGTCACTTGCATACGTGGCGCGGTTTCATTGGCCTTCTAATGTGACTTGACATGCCTTGTCATTTTGACACTTGGCATGATCCTATCGGCTCTTCCGTTTGACTTGGCGCGCTATGTCATTTGACACGTGGCACCAATCTGGGCCGATAGGAAGATGGCATCTTGGGCTTAAAAAGTGGGCTCATTATTCGTGGCCTAATTAAATGGGCTAGCCCGATAATATTGGATCTTTATTTAAATCAATTTTATTAGATTTAAATAATTAAGTCAACATATATTAGCCCATAATATTTATTTAGGCCAAAATATAATTAATTTGAGATTAAATCCAAATTTCTTATGGATTTAAACTTAACAAAATTTTATGTCTACAAATGCCCGTACTTCAAAACTTGTCGGGTATGTATATTTTTGTATCATGAAGACGAGGCTCGAAGTATTACAGCCCTTCAAAGTTTGACCCCTTTTTTGTACAATAAGATAGCAACATCCAGCACCATTATATTAGCCTCCAATTAAAAGATATTATAATTTCATTTAAATTCAAGAATTAGATTTTCTACTCTAATCTGCCTAGCTGGAGATAAATTTGTATCATTTGCATGCGTTCAGTGGAGTTTGGCTTAACTCCATTAGATTCCGCCTAGGACACGTAAGTGAATGAACGTATCCAACTTTCAGTTAATCTCAAACAAGTACTTTCCGCTGCCTTCGTTACCAGTCAGCGAGACATCCATTTATGTTCCCTTCCATGTTGGGAACAAATTGTTGATGCCGCCTCACACCTGATCCCACATCGCCTAACAACCTTGTAATTCCATGTTTCATTAGCTATATAAACCCCTCATTCTCATGGTAATTGATTACAACCAGCGTCATCCTCAAAGTCAATTTTACTTCGACCTTTGACGTTTAGGGAGCCTGCACAAAGGTAATTTTTTTTTAATTCCTCTGCATTTTCTTTGTATTTTTTTTTGTAGGCCGAGAAGGCAAGTACAAGTTCTTGCATGAAGATGATGATCTCAGGGTGTGAGGGGATGAGTACTCATCCTTGCCCGAATATTGAAGAGATTACTCTCAAAAGGATTTCGACTATCGGAGAGATTACTCTCATGTGGTTCGACTACCAGAGAGATTACTCTCAAAATGATCCGACTATCGGAGAGATTACTCTCAATGTGGCTCGACTACCGGAGATATTACTCTCAAAATGACCCGACTATCGGAGAGATTACTCTCAATATGGCTCGACTACCGGAGTGATTACTCTCAAAATGACCCAACTATCGGAGAGATTACTCTTAATGTGGCTCGACTACTAGAGAGATTACTCTCAAAATGACCCGACTATCGGAGAGATTACTCTTAATGTGGCTCGACTACTAGAGAGATTACTCTCAAAATGACCCGACTATCGGAGAGATTACTCTCAATGTGGCTCGACTACCGGAGAGGTTACTCTCAAAATGATCCGACTATCAGAGAGATTACTCTCAATGTGGCTCGACTACCGGAGAGATTATTCTCAATATGACCCGACTATCGGAGAGATTACTCTCAATATGGCTCGACTATCGGAGAGATTACTCTCAATATGGCTCGACT